TCTCTCTCTCTCTCTCTCTCTCTCTCTCTCTCATTTTTCCTAATGGGGTTTATGATGTTGTGGCCTGTTGCCCAGGTTGAGTTCAGGTCTGTTGTAAGCACCAGTAATGATTTGCAGTTCTCTGTTGAGGTCAGTGAACTTCCCTTCTATACGCCATGTATATTCATTTGTATTTTGGCAATTTTTTCTACTTGTTAACTTCACAGCTGTTGTACTGTCCTTTAAAGGATGTATGATCAGCTTTTACGAAGATTTTGGTAAAATGATTAAATTATCACCAACAGATGCTTTGAACTTAAAATTGTCTTAATGGGTGGTGCGTCTGAATATAAGCTGACCCTAATTTTCAATTATCTCTTTCTTTAGCAGAACAAATCAATAATAGGCTGGCAGCAAAAAATAAAAGTTCTTTTTTTGGTTTGGTGGAATGAATAGAGCAAACATGGAAATGATTTGAAACTCCATATCTTAATTTTTTTGTTTATACATTTTGCATTTGTCTTCTCTATTTCGAGGAACTATCTTGTATCAATACTAGACTCTAACATGCTCATTGTTAACCTTTGTTTCTAAAGGTTCTCTTCACTGGAGAGAAGATTGGTTTTGGAATGGGTAGGACGAGGAAGGACGCTCAACAACAGGCTGCTGAGAATGCTCTTCACAGCTTGGCTGGTAACATTATTCTTTGACCAAAATTATATTTTTCCCTGCAGTTTTCTGAGATGCTTTTGTTTGTATTTGTTAGTGGTTTGAAATATGATAGCCAAACATATATAAAGAAAAATGATGTGCTGAGCGGAATTGCAGATAAATATGTAGCGTATCTCGCACCTCGTTCTGGAGCTGTGGACAGAGATATTGATAAAGTCTCGGTCGGGAATGAAAATGGATTTGTATTGGACATCGTCGGTCCTGAATTGACTGAGCTACTAAGGGAAGATGGAATGCCTAAAGAAAGCACTTCTGAGGTGGGGATTATTGATCATGCTTTCAGTAGTTGATTTGATTTTCTATGTTCAAAAACATAGGTGATGCTTGGATAAAGGGTATGTGGGCAAGACATTTCCAGATGAGGGGCAGTGGTTTTTTACAAGGAAAACCACTCCTATTTTTGAATTTTGCATCTCACGAAGATGTGATGGCTAAAACACTGAAAGCGGAGTGAGCTGGCTTCATGTGTGCTACTGCTGCCTTAGAGGCTCCATTAATTCCTGTTTTAAAAGGTACGGGCTTGGTTGTCAGTCCCTCATTTCTACCCATTATCCAAGTATTCCTATGTACTTGATTTAGCTATGTTCTTTTCTTAACCTGTAAGAATAATAATTATTCAGTACCTTCCAATTGGATAAGCATACTAATTAGGGTTTATCTTTTCCTTCCTACCTTTTTTTTTCCCCACTGTATTGCTTCTAGTTGACTTTTAAACTTCTCACAGATTCCCTTTTCTTCCCAATATATATTCTGGATCTAACTTGAGCAATGCGGTGAAACTTTCTCTTTTTTCTTCCTGTGAGAGTGAAGCTTCTGAACCATGAATCGCTCCTTTCTTTTTCTGGAATAGTATAGCTCCATCTAGTACGTGAACATAATAACCTTTGTGTTGAATATCCTGATTAAAACCCATGTGTTCAATACCAAATATACAGGCTGCTGAAGTTGAACCTGGAAGTACTTATATTACGGTGAGTCAGCAAGTTCAAAAGCGTGCAGGTTCTCCAAGGTAACATGGTACTTTCTTTTTACCCTTTTTGAATCGAGCCTTATCCAAAAAACCATGTGGAATTTTGAAGGGTTCTTGGTTGGATAGAAAAAATCTGGCCAAGTCATGTTTTATGTTAAACTTCGGCTCCTTTCTTCTTTTTTGTTTGTTTTTAGATGTCTTCTTATGTATCTGTGTGATTGGTGAATAGTACAAAATCATGATTTTAATTCTCATGGCACCTATCTTGAATAATAAAGGCTTTATGAGTTCAATGTTTCTAAATCGTGAATATGTCAGTTTTCCACGTTCTTATTTTAGTTACCATCTATCTGCAGATTGCTACAGTCTTTTCCAAATAAACGATTAAAGGAAGAAATATTGCATGGGTCACAAAGTTTATCATCTTCACGGCCGCAGAAGAATGTACCTTCAGACAAACCTTGACACTAAAGTTGTATTAATCAAGGCTTCCACTAGTGCATTCTTCCCCTTCCATTGAGAAATGAAACGATGGTCTCGGCGAGGTCCATTGGCCCCATCTCTCCCCAGCATCCAGATTTTGTAACTAGTCAGTAGTTTTGGGAAACCAAAGGAACGAAAAAGGAAAAGGAGATGGGTCGGCATTTACGGCAATGGATATTACCAAGGTGAATATGTGTAATTTTGTTGGTGGAAAGGTGGGCTATTTTTTTGTCATCTTGCCCCATCTTTTCTCGCTTACATAATGGAAAACTGTGGTTGGAGATGTTTATGTCTCTGATTCATCAGGTCATCTTGGCTTTCACATGAATATAGTTATATGCTTTTTAACCCGTTGAAACTTCAGCGTAAACTAGAATGAATACAAGGGTTTCTGCATGGGAAGTGAAATTTGAGACCGTCTTGTTCCGGAAACAAAGTTAGTTCAGATTCAGATATCATAATCTGTCCATCCTTGCTTCAAATAACACACCCAGGATATTGTGAAGTTGAAAACACAAAGAGGATTTACGGGTTTGGTCATAAAGCCTGATGTAATATTGGAGGAAGTTGCTTAATTTATTTCCATCACGCAATTATTTGATTGTAAATCTGGTCCAATAACAAAGTTGGTGACAAAGATAAAGAATTAATATGATACGTTAATGAACAAAGACAAAGGAAAATAGTTACTTTTTCTCATTTCTTCATATGGTATCAGATACAGGTAGACTGGAATGCAAGAAAATAAAATAGGGAGTAGGAAAGTAGTGAAATTTGCTTCATTCGACCCAAAAGATAAAACTATAAAGATCTGGCTTCAGAATCTCAGATTAAAAAAAAAAGGGCATTTACAAATCTAGCTGTAATGGTTGAAATTATAAATCTCAACAGTCGAGTGCTTATATTTTTAACAAGATATCGACCTCGAAATGAGGCAAAAAAAGCACCCAAATGCCGTACGTTGTGGGCAATGTTTGATAATGAACACCAATCTCTCGGTACTTGGCTTGGAATTTGGAATTGAGCATTTTCATTCTTCCCAGTGGTTCGTTCTGCAACTCCCACCTTATAATTATGTCTTACCCTAATTTCCTGACAACGTTAGAAAGAAGCAATCAAATCCTTATTCAATTAGCATCATGAAGAAACTTTACAAAACTTTGTTGTATCTGGTACAAATTCTCCTCCCACATATCATGACAGAATTGATATGTCCTGGTATGCGTATGACAGACCCAAAAAATACAAAACCTGAGAGCACTCTTACATCCTAAGAAAGCAGCAATACTACCAGTTTGAAAACAACCAAGTTCATATGTACTGCATATACAATAATTGCTACCCTCTCCCCTGTCCTCTTTGTGGGCCACCAGAAAACTTCAGCAACAAAGCAGGAGAGTCACAGCCTTAAATGGATTCAAGAAATTCCTTCCCAGGTGTTCTACAAGGTCGATAGTACTAAAGCAATCGGAAATTATTCAGAAATTTCTGCAGCATTTTACGACCCCATTGCACGTCATTGTCCAAGACATTATCGTTGATTGGCTCTGAGTCAGACTGGTCTGCCCATTTAGCAGGGTGATGCATTTGGTTGAGTTGATCGTCATCAGACTTCTCTTCGTTATCGTTGATCATGGCATTTGTTTCTTCTTGAGGTGGGTCATTGTGCAAGACACTACCGTTGGCTGACTCTGAGTTGGAATGTTCTGCATTTTTAGCAGGGCTTTGCTCAAGTTCATCATCGAAACTCTGTACATTATCCTTGATGATAGCAGTTGTTTCTGCTTGAGGGGGGTCACTGTATGGCTCTTGCTTCAAGTCTAGCTGAATCTATTGGTTTGAGTACATGAAAAGTAACAGAAAAGAGGACATCAACAATAGCATTAACAAGAAGGACGAACAGCTATGTCAAAATCTGCTGTTGAGAACAAAACATAACCTTAGGCATAACACTAATCACAAACGATATGCAATAGTATTGGTGAATGATTATACGTACGACAACATCCGCATGATTTTAGCAATAGGGTTCCTGTATATTGAATATTTGACTATGGAAATGCTCAAGGATTGCCAGCAGAAAACAAATAAATGAAATGCTTGATAGAGCAATCAGTGTCACATTTTGACAGCGGATAGTTCAGTTTTAATCACACAACACAAATTTGATTTGCACTAGGAGAAAACTTGCTTGTGGTTTCTATTGCTTAAACTGCTGTAGCATACAAATTTTATTACAACAATATAGTGTGAAGATGTTCAACTTGTTGACAGCTGATTGTAAGGAACAAAACGTTTCTAATCTTTTAGTTCGATTGATGAAATCAAATAGATACCTTGCCATACATCATCTTCTTGAACTTTTCTCCATACAAACATAGATTCCAAAAACATACAAGATGGAACCAAAAACTATTTGAAAGTAAAGAATCTCCTATAGTCCTGGACAACTCGAGGTTTACGGAAATGGAATGGAGTGTTATTTCAGGCTGAGGTAAAAGTAGTAGAAGACAAAGAGAAAGAAAAAGAACTTCACTCTCATCAAGCAGTTACCTCTGGCATCTTAAGATCCTTAGCTTCGAAGGCTCCAACTGAGCCATCATCAAAAGACATCTGTTTCTCAACTTTCTCTTTCTTTGCTTCTTCAGTTGGAATAGCTGGTGAAGGAGTCAAGCCAGGTACCAGAACATGACCTTCTTCATAGTTGATTAGGCTTCCCTCAATGTGAGTGCTTGAAAGGTTCCTTACTGTTGCAGCTCTGCCATTATTGCCAAAAATGTTGTCTGCCACCAACAACTCCTTATTGGAGATGGCTGCATAGTCCTCACTTGGAAAAATAACTCTCTCTTCGTCAACCACTTTAGTTCTTGCAGCAATTTGTTCCTCGCATGGTTCCATATATGACTTTGGCCATTTTGGGGTTACATTCTCTGCAACAGTAGTTTTGGGTTCCTCTTTTGAAGGGGAAACTTTATCAGCAACAATTTGTTCCTTCCATGGTTTCTCTGCTGGATCAGTGCTACTATCAGCAATGGTTGGTTCCTTGGTGATATTCAAAGCCAGTTCTTCTGGAAGAGTCAGGTTCTCAGCTACAATCGACATATCTGAGTTAACATTAGAACCAACACTTTGATTAGCTTGATTTTCCTCTATTATTTTCTGAAGTTCAGCATCTGTCCAATCTTCACAAACAGTGATTGTGTTCTTCGTTTCCCAGGTCTGGAAAATTCGATCTGGGCCAGGCTGCCACAAGATATTCCCTGTGATTTCTTTCAGTATGAACTTGAACTGGACCGATTTCCCAACTGGTATATCCTGATTAAACACAAACATATCAAAATCCAAACCCGGTCTTCACTGAACAAAAAAAAAATTCACTTCTTGGTAGATTTTTACTCACCAGCTCAACAGTCCACACATTCCCATCTGACCAGTTCATCGGTATTGCACTTGAAGGGTCCCACAAACCGAACATAGGATCATCCCCTACTATGAGGAACTGCTGCCCAAACGAGCACTCTTTCTGCAACTGGAATTTGACATGAATAGTTTTTGTATGATCTGCACAACATGGAATACCTTCAGTGAGACTAAAATGCAGATTTTTTTTATTATTTAAAAAAAAAGAAAAAAAAGACAAAGGACTTACGTGTTTCTTGGATTTGATCATCTGTCACCTCCAATTCAGTCTGCACAGAGAATGCTCAAAAATCAGATTGACTATTTCAGTACAAGTAGTACTCAGATTAATATACTGTCTTCTTGGATAATGATTAAAATCCGAATGCAAGAAAAAAAGCAAATTTTGTAAATCATCTTTTTCCCGCATCTTCCCATTACATTGCATGATTCTATCTCTATGAAACAATGCTTCCAGAACAAGATGAACACGCATGTAAAGGTTCTCTGATACGTTTCTTGATCTTGAAAACATACAAAAATAAACGAAAAGAAGAAACAAACAAAAACTAGTGGTGAAAAGTTCAAACTCAGTGTCGTGCAAAAGTAACAAGATTAACATCTCATATGATTGCCTAAGCTTCAATCCTTCACAAAAGAGCCCATTAAAAATATATTCAAGAATCAAACAGAACAAAAAGATGAAGAAAAGTTGAGAATCTTGCAGCACCCTCTTCAGCCCCAACCCAAAGCAAGATTCCAAAACTTTATCGGCAACAGAAAAAGAAAAGAGTGATCATAAAAGCAGAGAAAAAATATACCATATTCTAGAAGCAGAAAAAGAGAAAACAAAAGGCAAAACTTTTTCAAAAATCAAGAAATGAAATCATCAAGGTGCAGACAGATGAAGAAGGAGACCTGGGTTTTTGATGAGAGACAAATGACTGGCTTGACAGGCTTGCTCTGTTGCAGAAAACACATCAAATTCAAGAACCGAAAATCCACACTTCTCTTAGGCCTAAGAAAACAAGCTTCAAGCCTGTGAACAAAGGCATTCTTCTCTCTGTCCCAGTGCTTGTCCACGACCACCCTCGAACTCGGGCTCACCAGGGTCTTCATAACTCGGTCACTGAAACAACTCGAATTGTAATCAAAGTTGGTTGCTTTCGATTTCCACAGAGAGAGAGAGAGAGAGAGAGGAGGTAAAGAGAGATTTTTTTGTTTGCTTGTATGGGTCTCTATCACTTTTTCTCTTCGATAGTTTCGTTGAGTGAAGGGTCGACGTTTAGTGTTGTTATATATATAGTGGTGGGGCCCTTTATGGGGATAAAGTTTCGGATCCTATTCCACGTGGCTTTGGGACACGTCATCACTATTTCGGGTTGAGTTGAATCTGACTTTTACCCCGACGTGAGAATCTCAACCAACGACTTTTCAGGTGTTACAGTTCATCATGGGGACATGATTCAAAGCAAAGCATGGAGAGAAGGATAACGCGAAGATGTGGTCTTCAACATCACATACTCCGTAATCACTGCTTGTTTCAATCTGACAATCTCAGCCCTTAATCCGTTTTAGTGTCAATAATCACCACCAAAAGTGGCAAATGTTGCGTTTTGTGCTTTAATTGCTTAAAACTAGTAGTAATTTGCGTGATGTATGTAGCTTGCTTAAATAGATTTGCTTAAAACTAGTAGTATTACTTATCGCGCAAATATTAATTTTCAATTATATCATTCTTATTCATAGATTTATTTTATAACTTTGTTTTAAAGGTTTATTAGTCTTTCTGTAAGCGCTTCCGCGTTTGCTAGAGATTT